ACTCAGAAGACCGGGAGGGCGGGGAGTGAACCATCTGCTCATGGCGAGCCACTTGTCATCTAATACCTGAGGCTGGTAAGGTTTGTTATCCTAGGTCAGTAGCTCTCCACCCTGGTTCCTGCCCCAGCAGACCGGAGGGATGTGACACGCTCCCATGAGGACGAGTCTCCCTGCGGCTGTGCTCGCCGAGGGTGTGGGTACGGGGGCCCTTCCCCAGCCTGTCCTTGGTTTACATCGCTCTAAGCAACAGACGTCCACTGCTTCTCACTACGCCGGCCTGCCCTGCCTTGTGGGGAGGCGTAGACATGGCTCTCCTTCTGTGGCTCATCCGAGTGATGGAGGGGGCACCCCTGTGGGCAGCCTCAGTGAAAGAATGGACTTAAAAAGAGAGAGGGGAGATTTTGCAAAAGCACCTGCTTTGGCTTATCAGGCTCCTTTCTACAGAGCCCCAGGCACGGCAGGAGGGGCGAGCAGAGAGATCGGAGGGTCCTGGGGGCAAAGATGGCTTTTGCTTTGTCCCCCCACCCTTGAAGCTTCCCAGGTGTCAAAAGGGAAGTGGGTCTATGGGAAGTGAGACCCATGTGGTGAACTCGCTAGGAGTCCCACTGTCTTCTGACTTCCTGACCCCATCTTTCAGTGGCCTGGATGGCTGGGGGGGTGAACCAGGCCTGTGGCTGAGTGGCCGCCCTGAATGTTTTCCCCCTCGGAGACTGTGTGCCTAGGTTCTAGGAGGCCAGCCCAGCGTGGCACCCTTTCAGCTGCCTCTTTGGGAATGCCTTCCAGGGGTGGGGTGGGGCGGAATCTTTTGGCCTTAGAAGGTGGATCTGATTTCTGGAAGGTGCCATATGGTTCACTGGATGACACGAGCAGCAAAGCAGATATGCAATTCTGGAGCCTGATGCACACTGCCTACCTACTCTCGGCCCAGAGCGAGGGGCCCCGTGCCACCCCCAAGCCCTGCAGTGTCTGGCACGGGGCCAGGCTTCTTGGAAGCAGGCAGCTTGGGTACCCGGACCCCCTTCACCCCAACCAAAATGAAGTTGTGCATCATTTCAACTCCTAGACGCGCGGTGGAAAAGACTTTTGCCATGTACTCTGCCGTCGAGCTCCCTTCCACCAACACAAGCTGCTCTTCAGCAAGGGACTGAGACCCACGCGTAAAGGCACACTGAGCGGCCACAGGGGACTGCCCCAACGCACTGAAGGAAGATGACCCATGCCGCATGCCACCCTCTCTCCGGGGGCCCTCTCCTCCCTAGATTGCCAAGAGGTTTCTAAGGTCTGTCTCGAGAGGGCACTCTTCAGGCAGCAAAGGCGACAAGGGAAGGAAAAGATGCTTTTTCTGCCTCTGATTTGACCTCTCCTCATGGTGTCCCAATGGGATGACGGTATCAGTCAAAACACCTCCAAATTGCCCCCCCACCCCTCGAAAGCCCAGTTGCTGCTGAAGCTTCTCATTGGTTCATAATGGAATGGGAAGTAGACCGCAACATGACTGCTTCGCAAAGCTCCACGTTCACAGTTTTAAGGACTCTTTTTTTTTTTTTTTTTTTAATTCTGGAATGACCCCCCGCTAAGTCTTTGGTGTATTGTTATGTTAGTGTGGAATGGTGGTGAGAGCAGGCAGCAGGTTACAAAATGCCTTCACTTAGCAACGTGAAAAGCTGTGCTGGGGAGCAGTCTGGGGAGCAACTTTGTTGTTCGCAGAATCCAGAAATCCAGGGCCAGCTGCCTAGGGCAGGTTTCCCTTGGCTTGGGGTATTACATACAAGCTGGGGGGACTTTAGTTCTGCTTTTCAAGCAGGTATTTTGAATCAAAAAGAACAGATGCTCTTAAATTAGCTAAAGTAGCCAATTGGCTCAGCATTCTTGAGGAGCGTGAATCTGATGTGACAATGTGACGGTCCTGTGGAGGGAAGCGTGGCTCTCTGGAGAGAGGGCAAGGCATATGCTAGCGGATCAGGGGGCGGAGACTCTCAGTGGGTGACCTGGGGCAAGGCCCCTTTTCTCTGGGCCCCATTTCATCATGTACAAAGTAGGGACCTGACTGGCCCGGGTCTATGTGGGCGTGATAATCAGAACGGCCTGGAACTCCAAGACTCTGACTGAGGAGACCCGTTCTGCTAGCCAGGCCGCAGGGCAGGCCCAAGAGCCCCCAGGCACACAGAAGACACGGACACACAGCCCCCAGATGCCTCACACTGGGCAGGGCTGCCGTCTCAGCTGCTAGAAAAGCGACCACCATCTAGGGTTGGCTCTGGGCTCTGCAGCTGAACTGGGGCATGACACACAAGAGCCCGTGGGGCCAGGATGGGGTGCGCAGGGGCTCACGGTTGGGTGAGGCAGTGAGGGGAGACCGGGACATCTGGCTACAAAGTTATTCCTGCTCCTCCCCTGGGCGCTCAGCATTCCCTTCAGACCTAAGACACTCTTCCCTGGCCATGCCGGCCGAGGTGCTCGGGACGCGAAGAGGAATGAGCCAGAGACCTGGCCTCCCGCTTCTCCACCGGAGAAGCCCCTTGCATCCCTGGGGAGCTCCTTAAACATGGACTTATCGGGGACCACCTCACCCAGCCCTACAATATCGCAAGCGCTGGGAGCAGCCCAGGACTCTGCCGCTTTGGAAAGTTCCCTGGGGTACTCTGCTCTTCCCTGATTCCAGCGCCCTGGGCTGAGAGCCCGGACAGCTGCCTGGGGCCTACAGGGGCAGGAGGGAGTGGACTCTGAGAAGGCTTCACGAGGTGGTGCTCTGTGAGCAGGCGGCTGCAGGAGGAGGAGGTGCCCCCAGGGAACACAGTGGGAGCTGGGGTGTCCTGGGGCCCGGGAAGTGGCCCCAGCAGGGAGGCAGAGCGAATGCATGTCTGGAAAAGTGGCAGGGGTTATAGGGCCACGGTGGGATGACGCTAAGAGGCAGGGGCTTGAAGGCCGTGGTCAGGACTCTGGACTTGACCCTAGGACAGGAAGAGAAGCTGGACGGGGTCGTTAGAGGGCCTAGCTCAACAAGGGCTGGAGGAGCAGGCGGGAGGCTGAGAGCCTGTGGTTGAAGCTGAGGCTGGGGCCTGGGGAGGAAGGAAGTGGGGGGCCCTGAGCCTGAGGCCCATGAGACTTCCGGGGACCGTATGGCAATAGGTGTGTGTGCAGGAGCGTCAGACCCCAGGCAGGGTAGGCACCGGCTGCTGAGGGTGCTTTGGGCGAGTTGTGTAAAAGATTCTTCGGGATGAGCCTGTAGTGCTGTGTGACAGGCTGGAGGCAGATACTGGGGAGAGCTGTGCTCCCCGGTCATGGCCCCGGGCCCAGGGGCCCTCAGCAGGAATCTGGAGAAGGGCGGGGCTAAGTGCATGGTAGTGTTCTTCCCACCGGTGCGACCCCCAGGGGGAAAAGCAACTGGAGCTAGGTCAGGGGCATGGGGGCTGGGGGTCCGGGACAGACCATGGAGAAAGACCAGAGGTGGGGCTTTGGGAAGCACAGGAGTGGCAGAGAGTGACAGGCGTCACTGGGGGCTAGGGAGGCAGCAGGGAGACCTGATTCAGGCGGCGGCACTGGTGGCTAGGCCGGGAGGATGGGGGGCAGGGGTGGCTGGACTGGGGACTTGCATTCAAGGGGGCAGAGCTGAGCCGATGGGCCATGCTGGTGTACCAGCTGTGTGGGGAGACAGGGAGAGAGGCTGGGGCTCTGGCTTGCTCAGCGGAGGTGACAGAGCCATCGGTCAGGTGCTGCGGGGCTGGAAGGAGGTGGGCTCAGGGACTGTGGTCTGGCCCAAGCCCCCTGTGGGCACCTCGGCTCAGGTGTGGCACTCTGGGGATTTCCGGTTGGGCACAGAAGGAGATGGGGAGTGAGGGGCACTGGGTCGCCATCTGAAGGCTGCAAGGGAAGGAGCAGGCAGTGGGGAATTGGCCAAGAAGTGTCCACGGGGCTAAAGGAGAGGCTACAGGAGATGCTGAAGGAAGGGGGGGTTGTAGTTGAGAGGGGCCGAGGGCTGGGGCTCCGCTCTCCCCTGCTCTTCCTTCCTTCCTTCCCTACACAGTCCAGTGCCCCCAGGTCTGTGGGATTTTCAGCACATGAGGGCCACAGCAGGGGGGACCGAGGTGTCAGCGGGAAGTGGCGGAGCCGGGCAAGCCAGGCTGGGGAGCAGGCAGTGCGACGGAGGGGACAGCAGGCCCCCAGAGAGAGCAGGGCTGACTGCCCTTATGGAAGGGCGCTGGGAAGAAGGCACAGCCCGAGTCCGGGAGCCAGGGGTCTTACAAGGCCTTGGTGGCAACTGCCTCTGGGACGTTGAAGGCAGAGGCCAGGCTGCGGTGGGATCACAAGCGAGCGTGAGGAAAGGATGTGGAGAGGCAGTGAATACAGAGCATTCTGGCAAGAAGGCTAACTGGGAGGCGTTGGGGGCAAAGAACAGGGTTTGCTCTGGCAGGCAAGTCTCGTGAAGCCTTGGAAAGTGCCCGTGGCCGAGTGGTCATTGTGACCATCTGACTTTATGGAGGTCTTGGTCCCCACCGGTCCTGATATGTGGCCATTGAGATGAACAGAAAGGCCCAGCTCTGTGGCCCGAGTCCGCTTCCACAGAATACACCATATAACCCGTGAGCGGTGAGCTCACCAAAGGCTCTTTGTAATGGGCATCTGTCTCATCCCGAGAACGTCACCTCCCCGTGACTGGGCTGTTTCCAGCGAATAAGGCGAGGCCCAGCAGCAACGCAGACAGTGGGTGGTCTGTGCCCCCCAAGAGACAGCTACTGGTCCCAACACACACCTTTAGCTGACACCTGCACCCAGCACGGCGGGGGGGCCCTCTGGGCTCTGAGGGAGGTGGCAGAGATAGGCGGCCGTGGCAGCACACCCGCCAACAGGCGCACCTGGGGATGGCCCGTGTCACCGTGGCAGCGAGACCCAAGGGTTCCCCTGTTGGTAGGGGGCTCACCTCGCCCACTCTCTGCCTCTTGCTTGCTTGCCACCCTCTCAAGGCGGGAAAGCCAGAGTAGCCAAGTGGCCCGGCGGCTTACCTGTGTCTGAATCCGATTGAGGCCCCGGAACCAGAGGATCTGGCCTCTGCGGAGCTCCCGCTCGGCGTGGTCAATCTCTTCCTCCCCCTCGGCCAGCTCCTCGTCAGTCATCTCATCCTTCCCGGGCCCGTGCCCTGCTTCCTTCAGGCACTTGAGCTGGCTGGTGGGGATGGTGGCGATGACCTGGGGGGCCAGAGGTGAGGGACAGCAGAGACACGTGGCTGTCAGAGCAGGGCTGGTCCCCTCAGGGCGGGAGCTCTGCTGGGGCCGGCGAGGGACCCAGACCTCCCCCTCCCTCTGACACGGGCAGACCCGGGGATGGGACGTCCTTTTCTGCTCCCCGAGGCTGCATGCCTGGGCCACCTTTGCCTGGTGCCAAGTCCTGCTCTCCAGAGAGAGATGCCAGCCTCTTTCCTCTGACTGGGAGCAGGGTGTGGAGGCCGTTGTGAGCAAGGAGTGTTTTCTAGCGAGGGGAGGCCTGGCCTTGGCCCCCAGCTCCTGAGAGGGGACCTCTAGGCCCCTGGCCCATCCTGCCTGATGAGTGGGTCTCAGTCTCCCTGGGGCTGAGCTGGGCCACACCTCTCAGCTTCACGTCCCGGGGTGGGGCGGGGGGCGGGGGGGACGCTGCAGGTGCAGAGACTGAGTTTCCGAGCTCAGCCCCGCGGGAGCTCCAGGCCGACGGGACCGACCCCGCACTGAAGTCCCCGGACAGCGCCGCTCAGGGAGGCTTCCCTGGTGGCCGTGCCCGGTGCGGGTTGTCACACAAGGCTGCGGGAGAAACGGCACTGCCGCACGCCTCCGCCGGCCAGGGACCTGGAAGCTCACGCCTGGTCTCCCCTGGACCTGGTCCTGCGTAGGCTCAATCTTGGACTTGCAGCTTCCAGAGGTGTGAGAGAGTAACACCCGCTGTTTAAGCCCCCCAGTCTGTGGTACTTTGTTGTGTCTGAGGTGACTGAGACACAGGGCAAAGTGGATCGTGGACTTGGCCTCCCACAGCAATGTTCCAGAACTGCCGAGCAATGCTTTCAGAAGCCTCTTGTGTGCCTATGGCTGGGGCTGTTTTTTCCTAACATAATCTTCGGGTGCCACAAGCCTCCCTCTGCACATGGATTTAACTGCCAAGGCCCTGAAGTGCCCGACTTTCGCTTTCTATCATCTCAAAGTATGTCTTCATTTTCCTTGACACTTTTCTCTTTGCCCCTTGGAGGATTTAGCAGGGTGTTGTTCAGTTTAGCTCTGTGGGGATTTTCTAAGCCACCCCGTTTTAGGGGATGATTTTTGGCTCCTATCATGAAAAGGCGAGTGGTGGGTGATTTTGCTGGGGCTTTGTGACATCCCCGCCATGGCCCTTGGTCTTTTCTCTGCTGACGCTGTCACCTGTGGCCTTGCACCTGAGTGGTGACATGGCCCAGGCCTGAGCCCTTGAACACACCGAATACTTTCCTAAGTGTGGGCCCTGAGGCGCCCCGATCCCCCCACATCATGCCCATCTGTGGTGCTGTTGTAGAGGAGACAGCTAAGGGGTGGGGCCGGGGAAGGTGACGAGGCAGACACTCACCTGTCCCCAGACCAGCTCCCCAACGCCAACGAACAGGCACCAGAGCCACTGCTCCGTGGACAGGGGGGAGCAGCTGAAGGGCTTTCCGCCGAACTGGACGATGACGATCTGCAGGGGTGGGGTGGGAAGGAGGCAGGCACAGCTACTGAGGCCCCTCCTCCAGCCCTCAGGGACCACATTTCCAGCTTCTGTCAACGTAATGCTCTCACATCCACCTGGCGTGCCTGCGCTGGACACACCTTGCCCTGGATACCCCAGCGACATGCCCGACTCGCCTTGCCTGGGCCTCCTGCTGGCTTATTGCCCCTTCCGAGGGAAGAACCTCCCTCCCTGGGGTGAGCTTTGTCCGTACAGACCAACCACCCCCGTTACTGTGCTCTCCTTTCCAGGCCACTGCCCCCGCCTTAATCACCCAGGGCCAGGACCCAGACAACCAGAGACAGTCCTATGTCCCCCAGAACCCTGAAATTACTCATACTAGTGAATCCTCAGCCAGCTCACCCCCCTCAGTTTCTCCCCCAGAAACCACAGTAAAGGCTCCCTGCTCCCCCTCTGTCTCCTGACCGACCCAGAGGCTTCCCTGGTTGGTCCCCCCAAGGCGTGGCAGGTCCCTCCTTTGAGGACTGTAAGGAGAAACTATCCTGGCCTGTTGCCGTCACCAAACCTCACATTTTCTCTTGCCACACCCTACTTTTGAATGCTCAGCCTCTCCTGAAGAGTTGACTGACCAGCCTGTCCACAGCACGGTGGCGGGCAGAGGCCGGTTTGTCAGCGCTGGGGATAGAAAGCTTGTCCGAAGGAACCTTCTGGAGTTCTGGTGGCTTCCCACCAGGGAATCAAGTGCTGGAAATGGGACTCAGAGGGAACTCTGAGGAGGTTCGTTCTCAGTAAGGCACACTAGGGCTCTCTGGAACCCAGCAGGCGAAGCCAAGGCAATGCCATGATGTTTTGAAGGTGGGGACAGAGGACGTGGGGTCACAGGGGATGCCAGCAGGGGCTGGGGAAGCAGGAGGGGCAGAGCCACCTCTGAGCGGGACAGGCAGGCCACCAGCGGGGGCGGGGCATGGTCCCCCGCTTCCCCAGCTGTTGTAAGAGTGGGGTCAGCGCTCCTACCTGAATTGCAAAGGTGCCCAGGACAATGGTGCAGAAGATGGGGTTGCTGAAGATGCCATGGAAGACGTTTCGCTCACCGTGGATCTTTCGGGCATTGATCTCGTTGAAGAGCTGCATCATGACGAACGTGTTGAAGATGATGGTGTAGTGCTCTGAGGGTGGAGAATGCAGGGGCGCGTTCCTCCCGCTGTCGATGTCGAAGAAGAGCTCCCCTGCAGGCCAAGGGGCACATGAGGGAGCAGAACCCTGAGCGGACATGGCGCCCGGCCAATGTCGCCTGAGGGGTGCTGGTGGGGGGGGGGTGTCTGTGGTGAGACGGCCGAGGGAAAGGAGCTCACAGCCAAGGCCTGGCCCACGGCTCTGGCGCCGAAACCCCAGGGCAGGCAGGAAGGAAGCCAAGACAAACTCTGTGTGCCAGGGTGAGCTGGGGGTGGGCTGGGGAGGGATCGGAGGCTGCAGGCCGCCCTCCTCGGCCCTGTCCCTAAGCCAGGGCAGCCAGGCAGAGGCCCTCAGGCCGGGCACGAGAAGCTTCTGCTGCCAAGATAGCAGAGAAGGGCCCGCTGAGGAACCCTCTCCCCACCCGCGATCCTGACATTTGTGGGGTCCCCCCCACACCGTGACTCCTGTCTCTCAGCAAACACTGTCCTGGAGGACGGCATCGGTGGCCTGCCGAGAGTGCCCTGACCTAAGGGAGAGGGGCCACAAACACCAACAAACCCAGCCCTGGTGCCTCCGCCCCCCCCCACTCCTCCTGCAACTGCCTTCTCTTCCTGCCCTCGCCTCCTCCTTGCTTCCTGACCCTCAGTCCTCCTCCCCCCTCCTCCGTCTTCCCCTCCCTTCCTCCCCCCCACCTCTCTCCTGATCATGGTTGCTGTCTCCTGGAGAAATGGTCATGGGGTGCACGGACAGATGGGTGTGATCTGGGTCTGGGAGCAGTGGACAGTTTCTCAGCTGCTTGGGGGGGGGGCCCTGTGACCCCTCGCCGGGGCACACCCAGAGAGGGACGGCGGGGGGGGGGGGGGGGTTAGCCTGGTGATGGGTGTTGGGGGGGGCACGTTCTTCCTCACGGGGAACTGGGTTCCTAGTGCTCGTCCGTCCCTTCCACCGCCAGACAGGGTCTGAGCCTGCGGGGCCGGCAGCCGTGCAGCGTGCCCCAGGGCGGACCTACCGACGAACAGCAGTGTGAAGATGATGGTGAGCTGGTACACCGCGTGGCCCAGGATGTTCTTCATCATGGTGCGCGAGATCAGGGGCTTGTCCCGGCCGTACGGTTTCCGCAGCAGCAGCGCCTCGGTGGGTGGCTCCGTCGCCAGGGCCAGAGAGGCAAATGTGTCCATGATCAAGTTCACCCACAACATCTGCACGGCTTTGAGAGGAGAGTCCTGTGGAGAGGAGGCAGTCGTCCTCACGTGGGGCCAGGAAGCGCCCTGGCGCACCGCTCCCCGGCAGAAACTCAGCTTGGGGGCGGCCTCACTGGCACAGACTCGCAGCGAGTCCGCCCTTCCCAGAAAACCGTGACGTCCCCCATCCCTGTTGTTAAGGTTCGCAGCGAGTTTTCGCCGCACTTTCAGATTCCTGCTCTTAAAATGTTGCCGGTCTCCCTTCTCGCACCTGGTGGCAGTGATCTAGAAGGTGTGGCCCCAATTGTCAGCAGGAGGTTCACAAGCCCGTGTGTTGCCCCAGACTGCGATGGGTGCTCTCCTGACCTCCCACACCCACGGGGTCTGCCCTGCACCTTCCTTCTCCTCATCGCCTCTGAGTCGGTTAGAAATCAGCCTCACAAAAGGCAGACACAAAGGGCCACATACTGTATGATTCCGTTCCTGTGAAACGTCCAGAACTGACAGAGAGCAGGTGAGTGGGTGTCAGGAGCTGGGGCAAGGCAAGGGGCGGGGGGGTGCCAGCTTTAGTGGGCACAACATTGTGAATGTGCTGAGTGTCACTGAGCCATGCGCTTTCAAATGGCTATCGTGATGTGAATTTTATCTCCATTAAAAAAACCTTTCAAAGGGAGACAAATCCTGGACACTCACTAATGGGGAGAATTGGACTATTGAGAACGGGGATGAGGCTCCTCAAAAGGAGCAGCACCTCCCCCCACAAAGACTTGTTTGTACACGCATGCTCACAGCAGTGTTATTCACAGTCACCAAAAGGTGGAAATGACCCAAGTGCCCACCGATGGAGGAAGGGACAAATGAAAGGGGCTCCCTCCATACAATGGCGCATTATTCTGCCATCCAAAGGAACGAAGTACCGATCCATGCTGTAACACGGATGGACCTTGAAAACACGATGCTGAGTGAAATGTGCCAGACACAAAAGACCACATGTCATTTGATTCCATCTATATGGAATGTTCCAGCATGGGTAAGTCTGTAAAGACAGAAAGCAGATCCGCGGGTGCCAGGGACTGGGGGAGGGGGACGGGGAGCGGCTGCTACTGGGGATGGGGTCTTCTTAGGGGCGATGAAAATGTTCAGAAACGAGACAGAGCCAGTGGTCTGCACACACTGTGAATGTATGAAATGCCACTGAAGTGTGTCTACTCTCAAATGGCGAAGGTTTTGGTATGTGATTTTTATTTCAATTAAAAAAAAACAAAAACATGCAACAAAGTAAAGACCTGGCTCTCACGGCCGAGCCCTTGGGCGGGCGCTCGTCGGCCCACACACTCATGGGAGTGGGGTCTCCTGGGCTTGCTCTCCACACCGGGCTCCGGGCGCGTGAGGCAGGAGGGGCCCCGGAAACCGGCTGCCTCCCGCAGGCCCCAAGGCTTGCAGAAGGGAGAGCCCGGGGTCTTCCTCGGGCACGGCGGTCCCCAGTGCCCACCTGAGTAATGCAGGCACCCGTGAAGGCCACGATCACGGCCACCACGTTGACGGTCAGCTGGAACTGCAGGAACTTGGAGATGCTGTCGTAGACGTTGCGGCCCCACATGACTGCCTTGACGATGCTGGTGAAGTTGTCATCGGTCAGGATGATGTCAGAGGCCTCCTTGGCCACGTCAGTCCCTGCGATGCCCTGGGGGGGGGCACACACGCAGTGTCCACGGGCCCTTTCCCCAGCCCCCTTGAAGACTCAACCCACTGGGGCTTACCGCCCAGCTGGCCTTCCAAACGAGGCTCCCCAGCAGCTAGAAACAGACCTTGTTTCATCCGACGTGACCTCCCACTCCAGGTGGCAGGTTGTCTCAGGGCAAGCTAAGGGTCTTTGCTCATGGACAAAGAGGAGGCCACACCACCGTGGCCACCAATGTGGCCTCAGGTACAAGGCCCGGCTGCCACCACGTGGCTACCACCAGGCTTCCGTCCAGTGCCAGCATGCTAGAGCGGCTTGCTAGATGGGAGCTCCATGAGTCCGGGGGCGGGGGGTGCCTTCGGCAGAGCAAGCACAGGTCTTCCCGGGCCACACACAGGTGCCTGGAGGAGGCCCTCCTCCATCCTCGGTGCTCAAAGCCCCTGCTGCAGGGACAGCCACAGCCGCGCAAAGCCGCACACCCCGTCTGCCGCCCTGAGGCTGGGTCCCGTGCAGCTCAGCCCAGTGCTTCTGGGCAGGACTGGCCTGGGCCCCTGGCGCCTGCCCGTGGTGGGCTACCGTCCCTGTGGCAGGGCGCAGGTGCTCCTTAGTGGTAGGTGGGGAAAGGGGCTCACTGGGTTTCTGCAGAGCTCACTCTAGAAGGCTGTGGTGCCAGGGCCGGGCTCCTGGGCAGCAGGGTCAGGGTTTACAGAAATAACAGCTCCATATAAGCAACAGGAGAGAAACACAGAGGGCAAGCTCATGGCGGGGGGGAGGGGGAGGGGCTCCAGTCATCACACTTGGGGCTGCGGTTCGCTGAGACTGGACCGGGACTGGCTGAGGCAGGTGCACAACAGGCCCCACTGTCACCAAATGCCTGTGGAGGCCCGAGAGGCCAGGAGGTGAGAGAGGCCTTAGCACTAGCTCCCACCTTTCTGCATGGAGCTGATGTCCTTGAGACACAAGACCCTACGTGGTGTGCTGAGCCAGGTCGGCACTGGGTGGCTTACCATGGCAAAGCCCACATCTGCCTTCTTGAGGGCTGGCCCGTCGTTGGTGCCGTCCCCGGTCACGGCCACCACCTGCCGCTGCTCGCCAGTGCTGCTGTCGATGATCCCTGGAATGCAGAGTGGGGCGCCTGTGCCCTGGGCTCCTGCCTGGGGGCTGTGGGCGACTGCTTGACTCAGGAAACCCTTCGGGATTGCGCCTGCGCCCACTGCCCCCAATCCCCTTGTGCTTTGGTCGCCTTTGCGGTGAAGTCCCCGCTCCCCTCCTCCTGCCCCGGCCCATCACCCAGCGAGATGACGCATGGTGGTGACTGGGTGGAAGGCAGGGGCTCAGCACTGTGTGACTCGAAGGCCTCAGTTTCCCTATCTGTTACAACGAGAGGCGTCTCCCACTCGTGTCATTAGCCCAGAGATGCGGAGGAGTGGGCCCTGGCATGTCGGCCATCATCACCCCCATTTTCCTGAAGTTCACGTTCAGGGCCATGTCCACCCGCAGCACATCTCCAGCCTGGGACCCCACTTTCTAGGCAGACCCTGGAGCTTGGCATCGGGAGTCTGGGGGCAGACCACACCCAGCCAGTGGCATGGCACCCCGGGCAGGGGCGGGGGCAGGGGCAGCGGCGAGCAGCAGTGGGCAAGCTCCATTACCTTTGACCAGAGTATGTTTGTCGGTGGGAGACGATCGGGCGAGGACCCTCAGCTTGGGCCACACCTTGTCCAGACGCTCCTGTTCTATCTGGCAGGGGGAAGCACACAGATGCTGCAGAGCCTGGATGGGGGCTGCTGAGCAGAGGTGGTGGTGGGGAGGGGGGCGGCAGAAACCGCCAGAACCCTGGACTGAGGTGGGAGGGCAGCGGAGCCCAGGCCTACCTCGCCTTTCTCATTGCGGATGCGCCGGTTGAACTCCTTCCCCTCCAGGCACAGGAAGTCCTCCCCGGGCTGGATGATGCCACACTTGGCCGCGATGGCCCGGGCTGTATTGATGTTGTCCCCGGTCACCATGCGCACCGTGATGCCAGCACGCTGGCATTTGCGGATAGCTTCAGGGACCTGGAAGAGATGAGAGAGATGGGTGCAGCCACTGAGGCAAGGCGCGTTTCCTCCATCCAGGTCTGCAGCACCCTCCCCCCCACTGTGGTCCCTGTGAACGGTATCTGTGGGGGAAAGTGGCTTGTCCTTCATCCCCTCAGCACCCCTCCCCACCCCTGGGTGCCTCCTGCACTGTGCTGGGCCCCAGGGCCAGCGACGACTCAGACCCGGGCCCCGACGCCACGAGTAAGGCTGGGAGAAGGCACTGGCCACTTGTACGCTGTCGAGGGGCGCCACTGGAGTCGTGTCTGGAAAGGTGACCATAGAAATCACCCAGCTCCATCAACCTCATTTTCCGCTGCGAGACGGAGCTCCAGAGCTGCTGAGCCAGGGGTGGCCCTGCTTACCAGGCTGGCTGGCAAGGTGGCTGTGTCAGTGAGCTCTGGAAAAACGAGAAAGGAACCTCTGTCCCCAGCTACCCTGCCAGATGGCAAAGCTGACGGCAGGCCTGTCCCTTTGGGGCAGGCTCCTGGCCGTCAGCGGGCTTGTGGCCAAGCTCCGGGCACCTCTCGCTTGCCCCCCCCGCCCCCGCACCCCGCTCCTGTCTACAACAATCTAAAACCCGAGACACGTAGAGCCGTAGGTTTCACGCGAGAAGGCACTCTCCCTACTCATTAGGGGAAATGGAGCAAGTGGACAAGTAGCTGAGGTGGAAGCGGGGGCAGGCTCAGGGTCCTGGGAGTACAGGCACGCTGCCCTCCTGGGTCTGTGAGACATTCTGACACCCACCACCCTCGGAGCAGCATCAAACGCCAGCCAGCTTTATGACTCGGCTTCACTGGGTGGACACAGGCCTCCTCCTCTGTGCCTCCGTTTCTTCCTGGTCTGATGAAGGGAAAGGTCCAGACCCTGTGTCCACTGGCGTGGCCCCGTCACCCACAGCAGCATCCTCTCCCCTTGCTCTCCTAGGCTGCTTCTCCCACTGTCCACTTTAGCTAGACCTGTCCCTCTGGCTGGGAGTCTCTCCCTTCCCCTCTGCTGCCATCTGCGTCTCCAGTCTCCTCAGAACACAGGGGTGCGCTGTCACGGACGGTCTGGATGTAGCAAGCACTGACTTTTGAACCGACGGTCTTTGGTACCCGATCCAGTGTGTGAATGAAGACCCGTCTCCTGAAGGAGGGCCCAGAAGCGTCTCCTTCCTCATGTCAGCAACCCTAAGGGCAGCTCACACACATACATGTTTCCAGGCTAATCAGCAGGATCAGGGTGGCCCTGCTTCTGACATGAGGTGGGTGCCACTGGAGAGGCCCTGGGAGGAGACAGAGGATCCCTCCCTGCCTCTGGCAAGCTGCGCCCCCTGCGCCTCGCATTCTTCCTGTGGGGCCTGGCATCCTGCAGCTGTCACTGGTGCTCTGCTCCAGGGCTCTTCCATCTTTATGGACCAACAAGCCTCCCCTTTGCTCCTTCGCTCTGCAGCCTGTTCAGCTTCTGCCCAGTTTCTCGGTTACCTCTGCAGAAAAGCTCTTGGTAAAGCCATCTGCACATGCTGGCCCCCTGCCTGGACCCTTCCTTCAAGTCTCTTTGAAGGCTCCTCCCACATCTGTCCTAGCTGGACACTCACCCTGTGACATCACTCGCATAAGGATGCTTCTGGAATCTCTCCTGCCAGGGCCTTCCGCTTTGAGCGCTCCACTCCTACAGCGACCTACCCACTTGACATCTCTATGGGGAGGTCCCAAACCTCACCCGGCCCCAACCAAACCCTTGACCGAGGACTGCACCCTGCCCACCCCCCCCCCCCACACCTGGGTCCCCTGGGACTCCCAGGCCAGTGATGGCACTGCCATCCACCCGCGTCTCTGAACCAGAGCCCTGGGGGCGGTGCCTGACTCTTCCCTCTCCCTTGCCCCTCTCTCCAGTCCATCAGTCCTGCGGGGGTCACAGCCGTCGAGGTTCTACTGACGCCGTCTCTCACCTGGTGGAGGCAGAGCATGAGCCAGGCCTGGAGGCCCCGGGCGGGCAAGGGGGATCGAGTGTGCTGGGGAGGTCTGATCTGAAGGACCCCGAGGCCCTGCCCTTGCCCACGTTTCCTGACCTTCCTGGACTCCGGCAGGAAGTAGTGTGGGAGCAGGGAAGGCAGGAGAAAGGGGCCATGCTGTGGAGGCCGGGCGGGAAGCAGGGCTGCCCCTTCACCCATCCAACAACCTGGGCTGCTCACGGACAAGTGGGTGGCTACCTCGGGCCGCACGGGGTCCTCGATGCCCACGATGGCTATGCAGGTGAGGTCGCCCACGACCTCGTTCTCATTGTCCCAGTCGGGCTCCCGAGCGGCAGAGAAATCCCGGTAGGCAATACATATGGTGCGGAGGCCGTCGCACGCCATGGGCTCGATGATCTTCTTCACCATGTCGTCCCTGTCCCGAGGGCGAAAGCCACGCAGCTCACCATTGTTGTTTATGATGTTGGTGCACCTGGGGTGGGGACAGAGCAACTCGAGTTGGTGCCAGTGAGGCAAGGGGAGCTGGACGCACCGAGAGAATCAGCAGGCATCGGAGGGAGCCCTCCATCCTGTGTGGCGGGGAGGCTTCTCGGGGAAGGAGGCGTTCTGCTTCTGCGGGGCCCAAACAGTGTCTGCGCCGCCCCCCACCCCCCACCCCCCTGCCACGTCGCGTTCTTCCCAGAACCTCAGATTGTGACTTCATTTGGAAATAGGGTTGTTGCAAAGTTAAGATGGGGTCATACTGGTGTACGGTGGGCCCTTAATCCAGTGACTGGTGTCCTTATAAAAAGAGAAGAGGACACATCGAGACATAGACACACATGAGGACAGGGCAATGTGAGGATGCCGGCAGAGATGGGGGTGACACATCTACAAGCCAAGGGACTCAAATGACTGCTGGCAATCACCAGAAGCTGCAAGAGACAAGGAAGGAGCCTCCTCCGGCAGCTCCGAAGGCAGCATGGGCCTGCCCACACCTTCAACTGTGGACTTCTGGACTCCAGAACTGTGAGAAAACAGGTTTCTCAGTTTTTAAGCCATCAGGTTTATGGCCCTTTGTCCTGGCAGCCCCAGGAGCCGGAAACTCACAGACTTGTGTAGGCGAGGAGAGTGCCTTTTTGTGGATTCACTCATGTAAGTCTCACAACTTTCCTAGGAGGTAAGTGTTTGTGTTGTCTCCGTGTAGGAGGAAACTGAGGCTCCGGCAGGGGAGCAACTTGACGTTCACATGCCAGCAAAGAGCAGAACCACAGCCCTACTACAGAAATCGGGCTTTTAGCCAGAGGAGAAGGGAAGGTGGCTCTGCAGGAAGTGAGGAGCCAGGTGGGCAAGGCAGGAGGATGGGGACTTGGGGGGTGGGGTGCTCCCCCCATTCAGTTTTTTTATAACAGCTTTATTGGGATATAATTCACACACCACACAATTTGTCCAATTAAAATGTACAGAGATGTGCAACCGTCACCACAGTCAATTTTAAAACATTTTCATCACCTCTAACAGAAACCCTACACAAGCGACACAAGAAATAAAGGGATAAACTGGACTTCATCATTGGAAGACACTTGTGCATCCAGGGATGAATCAAGAGGGTGAAAAGAAAAAAAAAAAAAAGCAATCAAGAGAGTGAAAAGAACGGCCCACAGGGAGGGAGAAGATATTTACAAATCAGATGCGTTAAGCTTCTAGTATCTGGCATACAGTGAGAGCTCTTAGAGCTCAGCGACAAAAAACCCCCCAAAACAACAAAACAACAACTCAAATCAAAGATGAGCAAAGGATTTGAATAGGCTTTTCTCCAAAGAAGACACACAAATGGCCAGTGAGGGCGTGGAAAGGTGCCAACATCACTAGTCGTCAGGGAAGTGCAAACACAGCCACCGTGAGAGCCCAGTTCACATCCCCTAGGGATGGCTATAACCATCATCATCGTCGTCATAGTGATAATAAACAGATTAACACATGCTGGTGAGAATGAGGAGAAGCAGGAGCCCTGGTGCCTTGAAAAAGTGAAACTATGCTCTCATAGGACCCAGCACTTTCCACGCCTAGGACATATGCCCAAGAGCACTGAAAACATGTATTCAGACAAAAACGTGCACACCCATGTTCATGGCAGCATGATTCACAGGAGCCAAAAGGTGGGAACAAGCCAAGGGACTGTCAGAGGGTGAAGAGATACAGAAAGCGTGGTCTGTCCACACAACGGAATATTATTCGGCCACAAGAAGGAATGAAGCACCAATCTGCACTGCGACGTGGATGAGCCTGGACAACGCTATGCTCAATAAAAGCCATACGTTGTATGATTCCATGACAGGCACATACGGAGAATGTCAGGGGCTGGGGAGGGGAGGGGGGAGTGGCTGTTTAATGGGGACGGGGTTTCCTTTGGGGGGTGATGAGAACGTTTTGCAAGCGCAGCGACGGTGCACAACTCTGGGGACAGACTCAGTGTCGCCACGCAGTACGTTTTCAAGGGATTAACGTGGCCAATTTGACGTTACGTCTACTTTACCGCGATAGTGACCCTGGAAGCCCGCACTGTGTGGCTGGCCGCCAGCCTCCGGGGCACCCGGCCCTTAGGCTGGCCCTCGGGGCCCGCTCACTTTTTCAGCAGGATCTCCGAGGCGCCCTTGCTGAAGAGGCGGAAGCCGCCGTCAGGCATGCGGATGACCGTGCTCATGGACTTGCGGACCGAGTTGAAGGTGTAGACTTTGTAAAGCTTATCTTCTGGAATCTGCTCCCGCACAGGCTGGAAGTCCCGCTTCAGGTCCAGGACAAAGCCCAGCAGAGCACACTCAGTCTTGTTGCCCACTTGGCGTGGGAGACCGCCTTCCTTCTCTGGAGGCTATGAGGCAAGGAGAAGCAGCATGGCACAGGGGGCCCGAGTCTACCCTCCTTGCTGCGCCCGGGGCCCCCCGCCTGGCTGCGGCCACCTTGTCTCTAGGGTGTGGTGGCTGGGAGCCGAGGACGGCCTCCACGGGGACTAGATGGGCAGGCTTGCCACCATGCACTGGGCTTGGAAGGGTTTCCAGAAGCTGCAGGTCTTGCCCAGCAGCCAGGACAGGAGTCCAGAGATGAGGTGGAGGCCGACCAGCAACCCAGAGACCCCCGTAGCTCTGGCCAAAGGTCCTCAAGGGAGCCGAGAGAGGCCCTGGTGACAGCTCCGCGGCAATCTCTGGCCTGGCCCCCTTCCTCCATGCGCCCCAGCTTGGCCCAGCCTGCGGCCCGCTCTCTGCTCACTAGTATTTTGGTGGTGTAGGCACTGTTGATGGAGATGGCGTGGACCAGGAGGTCGAGGATCTTGGGGGTCACGGTGCTGGGGGCTGGAACCTCTTTGTAGTGGGTGTCCCCGAGGTAGGACTGGACCACGGTCATACGGTTGGTGGTGAGTGTGCCCGTCTTGTCTGAGCAGATGGCGGTGGCGTTGCCCATGGTCTCACAGGCATCCAGGTGACGGACCAGGTTGTTGTCCCTCATCATTTTCTGTAAAGGGCAGGGATGGGGGCTTGGGTCACCAGCTGTTGTCAGAAAGCTTGGCCCACGGGGTAGGGGAGCAAGAGGTCGTCAGCATGTCGTGTGTGACTCGGCTCGGCCCTGCCAGGGGGCCTCAGTCAGCTGGCACACGTCCTCACCCCTGGGCTGACGGGCTGACAGCAGTGCCCAGAGGCACCGCTTGGAGGGGCTGCAGGGTGGGAGGACGCTCATCAGACAGGCCAAGCGGTCAACTCTGGGCAGCCGCTCTCCCCGGAGCTCACCTGGGGCCTCCCGTGGCCCCCTCTCAGATCAGCCCCAGTGTCAGCCACCTGCCACCCAGTCTCCCAGTGTCCTCAGCCCTGTCCTGATCACCCCTTTGCCCCTGGCACGCACTTCTGCAAGTGACGCCAGCACCCTCAACTTCCCGCCCTCATCCTGCAGACGCCAGGTCCACCCCACCGCCTGCCTGCTTTCCAGCTCATCTCAGCCCCCCTGCCGCTTCCCCTGACTGATCCCAAATTCTCTCCAGTCCTTGTCACGCCAAGTTGCTTAATGGCTTCGCAGTCCAGTTTCCGGGTCTGTATCCTGGTATCAAGGGATTCTCCTTCCTATCGCGTGTATATTATCATTACCTTGACAGAGTAAGCTAAGGAGATGGTGACAGCCAGAGGCAGGCCCTCCGGGACGGCCACAACCAGCACAGTGACGCCGATGATGAAAAACTTCACAAAGTACTGCACATAGACGGGCGTGCACTCCGCCAGCCACACCCGGCCGTCGACGACGAAGGTCTCAATCACAAAGTAGAGGACCAGGATGATGACAGTGATGGCAGACATGACCAGTCCTGCCGGGGCCACAGGAGCCACAGACGGCGGCGGGGGCAGGATGGGGAGTGAGCGGGGTGCGGGAGGGAGAGAGCAAGAGCGAGGCAGACGTAAGGGAGGCTGAGGCGGGGGCGCCACTCCCCTGGCCCAGCCTTGCGGACGTTTGGAACCTGCGCTCCCTGACTGGGGACTGCACCAGACTCTGATGGCCACTGCCGGCCCCGGGTGGGTCCCCTGGCTGCCTGGCCCACACGGCCTGTAACATTCCTTTCCCACTCCCACTTGCCTTCCAGAGCCCGGCCCGGTGCCCGGGAGCCCAGCGTCCGCGCCCAGTGGTGGCCCCACCTGCTTTCCCAATCTGCACGGCCAGTTTGGTGAGCTTGCCCTGCAGGACCGACTTCTCCTTCTTGGGCACGCTGGCTTTCTTCTTGTCCCGTTCCTCCATCTCCCCGCCCTCAGCGCTCTTCAGGGGCTGCATTTCCATGGCAACTGCCCCGTCCTGCTTCTTAGCTGCACACAGAGGAACCCCACAGCCCAGGTTAGGGCCCAGGCGGCAGCTACGAGGGGCTTTCACGCTCTGTGAGAGGAAACAGGGCTCCGGGGAGTTCTCTGACTTCTGAGGGGCTCTCTCCTCCCCCTCCTCTCCCCTCAGCAGGCCCAGGCCCTCCTGATATGGGTGGGAGGCTGCGGTGCTGTCCTGGCCAGGGCAGACACGGTTCTCTTGGGGCCTCTCAGGGGAAAGGAGGACGGACACAAGCACGGGGAACTTGGGCACACAGACATAAGGCCCCAAATCTTGATACCTGACAGAGGCCTGGGGCCCAGGGAACGTTCCAGAATCTTGAGCTGACCCACTGGCCCACTGGTGTCCTAGACACCTCCCTGCTGTCCTCAGGAGGCCTAGAAGCCCCTGCACTCTTCTCCCCTGCTCCCTGCTTAGGCTGTCTGCTCTCCCAGCAGCCTCTCAAGTGGGTGCCTTGACTTCCATCAAGGCCCCAGCTCACCATGCGTGCACCCCCGGGCAAGCCTTGCACCTATCTCTCCTCATGGGGCCTTCGCTACTCTCCTTTGGCTGCCTCTTTGCTTTCGGTCTGGAACAGGTGGCCCCCTCACGGCTCCCCCAGGGGGTCCTGCACCCTTCATGCTGCCCCGACGTGGTGGTGGCATACCCCCCACCCCTCCTCTGTCACTTGTCACCTCACACACTCCGAAGACCGTGGAGTCTCCAACTGCACCCTGTGTAATCCTGTCCATCCCCCACGCGGAGGGGGCACCCGACCCCACCGCTCATCCTTCTCCGTCACCACCCTTGGCCCCACACAGTGGGGCTCTCGGTGCTCCAGACAGCACCCCTGTATGCCTCCCGCCACGTCACTGTGTCAGCTGCTCCTTACTGCTTCCGGTCTTCCCACCCGAGCCTTCTCCCCTCGGCTGCCTGAGACCGCTCACCGATGGCTTCTTTTCCCCAGGGGCCTCAAGCCAGAACCCACGGCCTCAGTGGTACCCAATCCCCCGCCCGGCCGGGCCACTGCAGCCGTGTGCCCCAGCGATTGCCTGGGACCACAGCCATCGGGCCGGCGCCCTGACCCCACCTTCGCTGTCCTCCGAACTCCAGTGGCCTTGTCTGAGCCTGTCTTAGTCTCTGGGTCCCCGGGCCCCACAGTGCAGTTGAGTCTTGCCCCTGGGTCTGTGTGTCTGCACCGTGACCTTCCTGACAGCCGGGACCACACTTTATCTACCTTTGCATCCCCAGCACCTGCACCTGACCACTGACAACCCTCATCCCATCACGGAGTAGCAGCACCTACCAGGCATTCGGGCTGAGAGGAGAGCAGGTGTCAGATGGCCACCCAGTCACCCTGCCTCAAAGGTCCAGCTGAACTGGGACACCCACAGACCTGAGCCTCAGTCTCCTCACCAGGAAGCCCGCTCACAGGTGATCTCTGCGGACTTCTGGCAGGGTCTGAAGATGGGCACCCCCGGCCCCACTCACCTGCTCTCTGGGTGCTGCTCCTGCAACTGAGGCGGGCGGCCCCCCCC